AACTAATTCTAAGTATCTATATAATTCTTATTTTGTTACTAATAAAAATGACGTATTTAAATTCATGGGAAGAGTTCGAAAAAGGTGCCGAGAGGTTATATCTTCAAGATCCAATGAAGGTAGTATATTTTATATTAAATTATTATTATTATTATTATTAACTTATTCAATTTTTTTATAAGAAGTATATAATATAACTATATTTTAATTAGTAACATGTTGGTTAAATATAAATAGTAAATTATAACATGTGAACAATATGATATCATTTAAGTTCTAATTCTATATAATTTTTTGAAGTGAAAAAATAATATTTTAAATATATAAAATTTTTATATTCATTAATTTAGATAAGTGTTTATATTTTATAAACAATTAATATTTATTGATCAATTGATAAAATTAATCAATTGATCAATATTAAATTAAAGGTACAATTAATAAAATTTATGGAAATTGATAGTATTTATAAATAATTTAATAGTTACGAAGTTTATAATTTATTGTTTTGTTTCTTTAGGCTCGGTATACAATGAAATATTGCCATAATAAAGGTATATTATGTCTAAAACTTACAGATAATCGAACGGTAAGCTTTATTTTTATACAACTTACCTTATAATTCTTAAAAGTGTATTTAAATATAAATATATTTATAATTCTTTTTTTATAGTGTCTACAATATAAAACGGAATAGCACAAGACTTAAAGAAGATGGAAAAATTTATAGGAAACTTGATGAGGCATATGGCATCTAAGGAGAGCTAAACAAGGACTAGATAAGATTAGGGACATTTTTTAATCAAGGAATAAAAGTGCTGCGCATTTAATTCATTTGTTTATGTTGTTCCATTTCATAAGTGACTGATGGGATTATAGATATTTAATTTGAAATGAGGTATAAAAATTTTCTTAAATATACAATATGTGCATAAATGTCTATTTGTATTTATTTAAAGCTTCATGCTCAATTCGGGCGGTTCCGTTGCCTCCTTGTTAAAGTTCTGAAACAGTACAAAATAAAATGTATCATAGTATATAAGTAACAATTTATTTAAAAATAAATTTCTAAATAAATCATTAAAAAATGTAAAAATGTGATATCTTTATTTGAAAAATAATAAATAATACCAATACTCTTTTTAGAAAGTGTAACTATGTGTATATGTTTGTAACAGCAGTATATAGTGCATTAGTTATTAATAAAGCCAAACTTAATTTTAACTCTTTACTAGATATTATTGTAAGAGAGAAGCACAAAGCAATGAAAAGAAGCACTTACGATATAATGGGCTGAAGAACAGCATCCAGAGTAGTATCAACAGGAGGGTAGATTTCTTGATTTGAAGACAGTTCATAGCGTACCTCTCCCCCTAATTGCATTTGCGGCTATATACCAAACAAAACTATTTTACTAATTTACTATGCAGAGAATTGTACAATACAATACACTACATATATTAGCAACAGCATTTTGTTGAACCAATTCTTCTTATTACTCTATAATTAAAAAGAAAGGAATAAAATGCTGTGGCTAGCAGAAGAAGAAATAGCAAGCCTTAACCACATGTATTTATAAAAAGCGCTTAGTGTGTTTAAAAGATCTTCATATGATGATAATAGCGATATCAATAAAGATAATTTTACCTATAAATTCAAAAGATTATAATAATCTTTTATTCTTTCTTAAAAGCAAAAAGCTTAAACTACTTGAAGCAAAAGTGTCACTCATTATTTTCTGATAATATAAAATAATAACATAATGAATTAAAATTACGTATAAAGTGTATAAATGTAATATAGAAAATAACGAGTTTCACTTGAAACCAAAACTGGTAACCAAAATCAATAAACGAAGAAATAAAACGTTGTTATAAACGAGCAAGCAAAAAAATACATACTACCCGAGTGGGCTTAGCGCTGTCGGCAGAGCTTGAGCAGCAACTTGAAAATTCTTGCGGTGTACTTTCCCCGAGCCCACTGTCCACGTTACTTCCTATCAATATTCTGTTGTTACGTGTATAATAAAAGTCCTTCCTCATATTGCACTCGCTCCTATTACCATCGTAGTATTTTATATCAACTTGACTCGGTCTGGTTGGTGGCAAATTATAACTTCCATCGTGACTATGTTGTATCATTCTTCTGTTTCTTTTGCCAACGGATCCGATCGTTCTGAAAGTGATTCCTTGACAATCTTGGGATATCACGGCAAAATTTAAGCACATCCCAGATCGGACACCATTACGAGACATCGATGCATATAAGGTAATACATTTTAGTCATTACCAAATGTTCATAACATGGTTAATACATACTACGAGCCATATTGCATTCCTTATAGCGATACACATTTTTATTCACATTAAAACACTAAATTTTACGTAACAATTTCATCATTCGTCGATCATTTACATACGCCAATTATATATTTTAAAAAGTCTACAAATATTTTTTTTAGAATGATATTACCGGCTACTTATGAGAAAAAAGTGTTTCAGGGATTCGAGTCATCTGGCACAACGAAGATCCGGATCGTTGACAATGATTAATTACCAGAACTTCAAACACTCCCATATACCGATCTCATTTAACAATTAACAATTAACACGATGCATTATTATACCATACACAAAGTATACAACAAACATTTGAATAGAAAAAACACACATGAACAAATGCTACAATTTTTCTTGCTATAACGTACATTCATGGAACACCAATGTATTTTTTTCATGGAATAGCGAAAGCATCAGTATAGGTGCCAACCAGGAGATAAATAAACAGGTGCGACAAGCTGTTAATCTCATCGATTTATTAAAGACCTGTCATGCTTTGAATAAATAATAAGGGGCATGCTTAAAAGTAGTTGTTCATTTACATGCTCTTTGAATAAATTAAAAAAGAAAAAAAAAAAGAAAGAAAAAAAAGAAAAAAAAAAAGAACACCACATGCAATGGGAAAAACATTTCAAACAATGACTACGGATCCCGTCTCATCCTCCAACTGTGGAGGATGACTGTGGATGTTGCAGGCCGTCTTGAGATCATCGTACCTAGGCAGGGACGACGAGTCTGCATCGTCCAATCGAGAATTACTAGATTGTAGAGTACATTGTTGCACGGATGTTTGCGACTGAACCACCGTATATGGTATCTCTCGCCGTTGCTGTTCACTCATTCCAGAAGTATCGACTAGCCCAAACTCCAAGTGTCTGGAAAATCAGCCATTGTTTCATTGTTTTATGTTATGCATTGTGTTACACAGGGAGGAAATTTATTAATTTCGTAGAAACTTCGTTGTGTTATAATTATTATGTAAATTGCCTTGCATAAATTATATTCAAATTATTTCATTCACACCAGAAGTAATTAGATTAGTATACTTTACATAGTAATATATAGAGTGTATTCAATATATACACAGATTGCAGTTGTTTAATTTGGAGGAAGAAATATAATACAAAAATCTTGTGCAATTTTTAACATTAATATTTACAGTGTATTTTTTTTTTTTTTAAATTAATTATATTATATTATATTATATTATATTTATATTGAGCAGGTAGACAAAAATTCACTTTTCATCATTTGGTTCTCATGCATTTAATAATAATTATGCGCTATTATAATAAACCGAAGATTTATACAATATAACGTAATATATCACAAAATGCTTAATATTATACTTACCCCTCCAAATCAAACAATTCTTTCAGATGTCTTTTTATTCAAACTAACCGAACTGACACAAGAATAAAAATTAAATATTTAAAAAACAATTATTTCAATATTGTATTATAGTTTCATAAAGAAAACGTACTTCCTAAGCTCGTCTGGCAGTGGTTGCTTTTGAGAAGGACTCCGGTGTCTACTTCTGTGCCTTCTTCTTGGTTCTGTATGACTTACCTATTAAAACATTCATCATTTTACAACGAAAAAAAAAAAAAAAGAATAATGTAAAAAATTACAAGACAAGAACAAACATCATTAAATTGTGTCGAATTACATCATAAAAATTACATTGCCATCTAACTTACAACAGCCCGTTGAACTCCTTCGCCCTTCCGCTTCTGTGCCTCTCTCCATTGTGGTTCAGAATCTACCAATTCGTGTCTGAAAAGATTCACCCGTGTACACGTAGTATAAATTCCGAAATGTTTAATGTAACCAATTATAATAAAAGTAACAAATTAAATTTGAATTCGTTCTGCTTGTGATTGAAAAAATGGAATAATAATAATAATAATAATAAAAAGATTTCGTTGCTCGAGGTCGATACTTCTCAAGCGCATCGTCATTAAAATAATTATCACCTTTATGCGCTCTATGTATCCTACCGTGAGATTATAATGAGCACGAGGATTTCTTTCTCGTCTTTACGGTCGACGAACTCGTCCAAGATGTTCTGTCAAGTTATTTCATTTTCACATCACCGTATGAGAGGTCTTCATTGAGTCGATTAATTAATAATTACGCGCATACAGATACAGCATATAGCTTAATTGTTTCAATAATTCACGATAACAAACGTATATTAACGAGGCACTATTAATACAGTTAAAATATTTTTCTTTTCTTTTCAATAATTCTTCGACTTTTGTTAACAATGGAATACAAAATATGTAGTTGTTCTATATAAAACGAAACGAGCGAGAAACTGTACCTAGACGAACGAGAGCTTCTGTGCTTTCTGCGGTGTTTACGATGACCTGACCTAGTATCCGAACCCCGTGAAAGCTCAGATTCACAATCAGAATGACGACTGTGTCTTCGATGGCTATGACTATGACTTCTTCTACGATGACCACCACGACTGTGACTGTCCCCTGAACTTTGACTCTCTACAGAGCTACTCCGTCGCTGGAGTCTGCTCAAGAGCTAAAAGAAAACAGAATGGAATATTAAGAATGTTAAAATTCATCGATGTACCAATTACAATATAAATATTATTTTTAGAAATTTTAATACGAAAAAAATCACAATTAAAATATTTACTTACTTCGTTAAATTACTCAAAGTTTAAAAAGTTTTATATAATAAGATTTTAAAGAAATAGCATCTTAATGTAAAGAACGAGCTTATTCCTTAATCTAATCTATCAAAAGGAATAAAAATATGTCCCGAGAAGATGGCTAGAAAATTTAAAGAATAACGTATAAAGACAAACGTAAAAATCACCTCGTAGAAACGTTAAACTTGAAAAATAATTTTCTACCTATTCCCCGTATATATCTCTATCCATCTATTTTCACATAGAAGACTTAACAAAGAAGAAATACGTGTAAAAAGAACGTACTGCCGGCGCAGTTCCCGCGGAGCGGACTGACCGAGGACTAGACGAGGTATAAAGGCCACGAGGTTGGCTTTGAGTCCACGGCGCGCTCCTGGTGCTCCTGGGACTCGAATTATTCACCTGTCTCGCGCTTTGACTATTACACAAAACATTTCCGCTGATCGGATTGCTGTTCGAATTCGAGTTCACCGTCGCGGGCGTTTCCACAAACGGGCCGACCATCTCTTGGCCCTCGACCACGCGTCGTTGGGCCCTGCGACTGGGCGTCCTCTGAAATATAGGCGGTGGATTCCGTCTGATCACGGTGTGCTTCTCGGATCCAGACGGCGGGCTGTACGAGCGGAAACGAGAGTAAGGGCTCAAAGGTGGCGGGCCGGTGGCCATTAATCGAAAGAACGCTTGGTGCTCCAGGCAACACTTCCACAAATGTCTGCACGCACCCTTTGACGGCGTCTCGAAACCGTGTGTCCTCTCCTCCGAGTTCTTTTCACTGACTCTCAGCATGAAGTATCTACCCTGAAAAGGGAGATTGCGGTATTAGTTGCGGTAATTGTTTGATAGGTTTCGATATTACGAAGGGAAATACTGCTTCGAATCACGTGTGATTAATTGTGCAATAGAGTATACAGTAAAACTTTTGAAAACAATTTCAGAAGCAAGCACGATAATTACCTGTTGCTCTTTATTTACATGTATCAAAAATACGAGGTATGGTAGTTTCAGTTATATTATAATATTAAAATATTCATACAATTATTAAACAATAAATCAAAATGTTCATACGAATGTTGAGCGATAGTTTAAGCAAGTATTCAGAAATATATTCACATAAAGATATAGATTCTGTATAACGTTCATTTAATTGGAATAAATATTCATACAATTATAAAACAATAAATCAAAATGTTCATACGAATGTTGAGCGATAGTTTAAGTATTCAGAAATATATATTTACATAATAGATTCTGTATAACGTTCATTTAATTGGAATAAATATTCATACAATTATAAAACAATAAATCAAAATGTTCATACGAATGTTGAATATTAATTTAAGTAAGTATTTAGAAATATATTCACATAAAGATATAGATTCATTTCAGTTGGAATAAATAGTTTATCTTTTTTTACCTTATAATAGATTTTATTGATTCGAGGCCAGTAATAATTTCCCACTTTGGTCTTGTTGCGCAACAAAATTATCCCACTCGGCGTCAAACCCAGAAAATACTCCACGCTATCTTCGCCCTATGGATAGAGCGATGTTTTGAGAGATTACAACATCACGTCTCATTAAGAGATCTTTGTTCATTCAAACAGGTACTTACCAACACGGGATGCAAATCAACCCCGTACATTTCCAGCCATTTCACTTTGTCCAAATAATTCAGCTCTGCCGCGGATGGTAATTGTCCTCTGAAAGAACGAATTCATTGTTGCATCAAATTACATGATTATTTAACAGTGTATTCCTTTTTTTTTTGTATAAAATTTTATGGCAAAAGAAAGATTTTATTATCGATTTAAATGTAAATTGCATAAGTTGTAAAGTAAAACAATAATATTTGAAATTCTTGTAGATTAGATATTTATAAAAATAAAATAACGTTATTAGATGAGAATTTTAGAGTTTGAATGCAAAATTTCATCATGTTAAAAATATTATTAAATATAATTTTGATTGAGTTTGTTGTATAAAGCAAAATAATTTTTAACACCTACACAAGAGTTTTATGAAGTTCCACTATACGATTTTCCAATTCCGTGGTTTGATTTGCTAAGAATCGAAATTCTGTGACGTATCCTACAGAATGTCGCCTTGGATCATAGTCTCCAAGTTCGGCTGGAATCACGAATAAAAATTCGTTAGATCGTATCAAATTAATCTTGAAATACCATCTTTATAATCATTAATTTTAACATCTCCATTCATATTTCAACTCGATTAATTCGTCTGATAAATATATTTATCACCAAATAATTAAATATATCTTCAATGTCTCTTTGCAGTTACATAAATCTTAACTTCAAACAAACTTTTTATTGCATTTCATTAAATAACGCATCTGACAATATATATTACTTATTTCGAAAAATCAATGCTACGTGTATTTTTCAATTCGATAATTGAAAAATAATAAACTCAGATTAGATTAATGAGATCATCAATAACAATATGAATAATTGTTAATCAAATTTTATAATTTGTTCGAAAATAAGGATTATTTCAAGGATCCTCGTATTTTCAACATTCCTAACTACGTTTAAAATATCTGTATATGATTCAACGTCACGTATCAAGCTTACGTATAAACCTATTTAATGAAATCACGCGTAAAATAAAAGAAATCACATCCTCGGTGTAACTTGTATATCATGCGCGTAACGGATCACAATTATTTAATGCTTCCTCGTTACGTAATTCCATACATTTTCTTTACACAAGCGTAGGATCGCATCGAGCACACGGGATGCACACACGTCCACGATTTATTTTCATGGTATCAAGCAAATCATTCAGTAACACGCATTCCATCAGCCGGATGCTCGCACGCATTATCTACGCTAGGAAGAAAACTACGATAGCACTCTCATCCTGTAATCTATGTAAGTACGCACAACTTGTTTCCCCGTCTCTTCTTCTTCTTCTTCTTCTTTTTTTATATTCTTTTTCTCATTCCTTTCCCTTCGTTTCTCGCTTTATTCGATTTAAACGCGTGCAAACCCGTGAATAGGATTTTAAAATGATAAAGGTAAAGGCGGAAAGTTTTCTAGAGAGAGATATTTTTCTTGGAAGAAGTATCGTGAAAAAATGTTTTTCAATTCATTTGGTTGGAAATTGATGAATTTTTTTATATTTCTTTTTGTTGCTATGATTTTTATATAGCATTCTGTTTCTATCTCATTTTTATTATACGAATTTTCTTTTAGACTTCTTTTATCTTGAAGTAACGTCGAATTCAATTCAAAATTTCCAAGTTAAAATTGAATCTGACTTTTTAAAAAGATATATTTCGCATGCAAAAATAACACCAAGTGTTTAAAAAACTGTGACTATGACATATGTACGTATAAAAATTATTGAATGTTTCATGGCTACGATATTTGAATTGTTGTATGTTGTATGTACGTATAATTAATTGCCGGAGAACATGAGAATAGGAATCCTATTCAAACCGCTGTGTAATTAAGCTTGTTTGAAATTTGAGTTAATTCTAGGTCTCTGATTTAGTATTGTCTGCTGGTTTCTGTTCTCGTTTCTCTTATCTTTGATGAATCAACTAGTTTGTTTCAACTAATTAAACTGCGTTAAACAATCCTTACCTTAACGCATCACTTACACATTAATTATTACATTTTTCACAAATTCATCGACTTTTTTAAAAACATTCCATTATTTAAAAAAAAAAATTCCATAAAATACGAATAAACATGTTTATCAATAAACTGCTATTGCTTCAACGAAACCTATCACTACACATTGAATTGACAACGACGAACTTAAGTTTTGTTTTTTTAAAATCCTTAAATTTGTTCGATCTTCGTATCCAACGATCTATCTTCCAGACCGTCGCATTTCATCGGTTTGCTGACCGAGAACGAGGATCCTTCCTTAGAAGAAAGAGGGGACACGACAAAACAAAAACAAAAAAAAAACCTATCCCATCCACGTCGCGGACAAAACCGTGACGACAAAATCTCCAACGTCCACGCGACTCTCTAATCGCATAAATCCAGTCAACATCGAGGAATCTCATCCCTCTGGAATTTCGCTTCTTTCCACGCGCCCGCCCCCTCCCAAGCCTGTCACCGCCAATTCCCATAGGGTGCAGCGTAGAAATGCCCTCCAGAAATCATCCTAGCCGCTTAATTGAATCGCTGACTTTGATGAATATCGGCTCCGACCGTCGCGCGAGGGGCACTTTATTTTCTCCCTGCCTGCTCCCTCCCCCTCCCCAGGCCAACGGAATCCCGCACCTTGTCGTCGATGCCGACTTCTTGCATGCTCGTTCGCTCGTGTAATTACGAGGCCGCCGCTCGTGGACCGCGAAACGATCGTGGAATCGAACCGAGTTATCCTGCCAGCTTTGCCTAAACGAAGGGGGAGGAGTTCGATAGACAGAGGAGGGATTATGGCGGAGGAAAATGTGCTTAAGGAAGTCCGTGGGACCGGTGGTCTTCAATTTTCAAAATTCTTCTCTGGATGATTAAAGTGGAATTCACGATTCTGAGCGAAGACGATCTTTCTTTGTGTTGGTTTAAAGCGGCATTTAAAGAGGGTGAAGAATTTTTCTTTCTTATTGTATAACGAAGATTATCATCAAAATGTGCTTTTTCTACGCGTACAATTTCGAATTTTTCACTCGATCCATAGCGTGGCTGTTCAAAAGTGTGTGTAATTAAGAGACAACGAGGAGGAGCAACAGTAAACAGGCTGAACGTACGAAACAATTAAATTTCCAGCTACGATCCCATTGTTCGTGATTCAATGAGCCGTCCTCGAGAGCTTCTTCCTCGTCTTGTTCGTGGAACGAACAATTCGTTTGGGGGAAGGGATAAATTAACTTACGAAATACCGTTCTAAAAATGAATCGAATTCCGAACGAAAGAGAGCTCGAAGAAGTACGCGTGGCGAATAATGGGATTCCGTTCTGGCAAGACATTGTGAATGAAAAAAAAAGGAAGGAAGGAAGGAAAAAAAGAGAGAGAGAGAGAGAGAGAGAGGAGAAGGAGGAACGCCTAAAGGTATTTTCACCGCCGTTGTAATAGCATTGTAAGCTCAAAGCTTCTTGGCTATCTTGTTTGAGATCTCCGTGAAGATGGACAACGATTTTCAACGGTGCAAGCATTATCTCGATTCGTAAAACACGGCACCGGTCTGCTTATTTTCCAGGGTAACTCCAATATTTGCGGAAGCTGAGTGTAAAAGGGTTGGACGATCATTCCTGGCTAGGAAGGAAAACGCGTTACACCAAAGAATGGCGATGTTTTCAAATGAAGAAAGGGAAAAGAGAGATAAAAATCGTGAGCACGAGTGACTATCCTCGTTGTTGGCGAGTTGATTAATATTCGTCGTTAAACTGCCCTCCTCGTAAAATTACTTTCCGACGTTGAACAAGCGCGTAATTGCGTATGCTGTATAACAACGAACTTTCGTTTTATTTTTTATTCTCTGTCCTCCCCTCCCTCTCTCTCTCTCCATTGTTCTTTTTTCTTCTTCTCTCTTCCCCGCGAGAGAAAAAGATTTCTTTAATTGTTGAACTTGCGTTAAAAGAGAAACGTGGAATTTTTATCTCACCAATATCGAGGTATTCTCGTTTTAAACAGAAGAAATATGTAAATATGATTTGAGAATAAACGTGAAGGATTATTTCTGTAAGAAGATTTTTTTTATAAAGTTATTATGTAGTATTTTTATCGAAAATATAATTATGTTGAATAATATTTATAAGATTATTATATAAAATATATAATATAAGAATTATTGATATCAATAATTTTCTTGTTAGAAGGATTTTTTAAATTTTCAAATAAAATCTCAAATAAAAGATAAAATGATTTATGCCATTAGGAAGGAAAAATATAATAAATTTATTTTATGAGATAATAAAAATTTAATCGATGTTCCTATTATATATTATTTATAACATCAGGAATTTGTTTGATAAATTATCTCTTTTAATAAATCAAATTTAATCAAATAAATTATAGAATTTGAAATAAACGTAGAAGAAAATTTTAATAATTTTTAACAAAAACTAATCCCGACAAAATTAATATCCAATCTTTAAGATACTTTAAGAATCTTTAAGAATTTACATTTAATCTTTACATTTAATGCTAGATTTTCTTTGTACTTCGATTGTTATTATTTTGAAACATTCTGGAAAATTTTTTTTTGTTCTTTCTTATCTTATAGACCGTAAACGAATAAACTTGTTTGACGTTATGACATGAATGAAAGTCTCAGATATTAGCTGCATGAATAAATATTGAGTGTTTGGAATGGTGTAAAAAGATAGAGTAAGTATGTACGTAGGATATGTGGTATAGAATACATATTGACTTAGAGCAAACAAGAGCATGATGAAAGTGTTCCTTTTAAAAAATGTAATCTACATAATCTATCGATCTAAGGATTAGACTTGAATTAACTAGTTACGGACTAAAAACTGACTGACCTGGTGAAAAACGTAGAAAGAATAGAAAGAATGAAGAATAAATTATTATTAAGATCAATTAATTGGAAAACTTCTTTCAAGAAACAAAGAAAATCATTTTGCACGAACTTTGTATTGGATTAACAAGTTTAAATTCGTACAAAATAGAGTTCTATATCGAAGAGATCAAAACATCAATATATTTCTACCCATATGTTTCTAAAAATCTATTTTCCCTAGCTCTGAACCAACCCGAATCACGTAAACGAAGATTTTTCGATTCGAGTAAGATTTCGTGGCGAGCTTCGAGATGCAACGAAAAAAAAAAAAAAGGAAGGATGTCGAAAGTCAAACACGTGAAATTTTGTTGCTCAAGATGTTGCAATTCATCGTCGCACGGTGATCTCATCCGTGGCGGATTGCAGTCGCATTCAGAGAAGTTTATCTCCATTTCGCGAAGCAAAACGCGTGCCGTGTCCCTTTCTCCCCCTCTCTCTCTTTCTCTACACTATTCACACGAGGTTCACACCCTCTCTGTCCGTTCTGCGTTTTGTCGTCAACGGGCACAGAGAGTGAACAAGAAGAAAGGGCATTCATTTCGTCCCTTTTGACGGCGATGAGACGCAAACACGGCCGTATCTTTTTCTCTCGTTCTCTTTTTTTCTCTTCCGCAGATATCTAT